ATGAGCAGGCCACTTATGCTTTGGACCATTTTGGGCAATGACGAAGGCGAAGCTGCCGAAACGTTCGGCCTAACAGAGTAATGCAAATTTGGAAGGTTTGAGAAAACACATTCTGGCAGAATTGAACTCAAATTTTGAAAGCAGAAAGGCAGGAAAATACTACTGAAGGTTAGGTGTTTCACTGAAGGGAGATACAAGAAAGAGAATTTCAAAACTTTTCCCAAGACCAACAGCACTCGTCAAACGGTAAAGTCTGCCAACAATGAGCAATAAATCCTAGTTTGTACACTGATACTCTATATTTCAAGCGCTCAGTCTCTGGTCCTCCTTTAATAAGACATGTGGCAATCCATAGTGAATTCAACAACACATAGAAAGTAGTATTTTGACGACTTTCAAGCACATCATTAGAAAACCAAAAGCAAAAGAGACACCCGGCTCTAGAGCAAGCGAAAGCAAACAGACAGCGACGAAGGGCTACCTCCCCTGCGCTCACCCAGAGGGGCGGGCATATGACGACTATACATGCACGAATGGACGTCATTTCACTGAGGCCGAGGCCCACTTTCACTATGGGTTATTATGGTCGCGGTGAAAATCAGTGTCCTTCTAGAAGGGAGGGCCACAATGAAACAACTTTCCGTGGAATCGCTCTTAACGCCAACTTCTACGTTGTAAGATGATAAAGTGACTCCCACCTTCAGAACAAAACTCTTACTTTGAAAATTCTACCACCAGGAATTTCCTGTTGAAGTTTCCCGAAGGACATTCTCAATGACTTCATTGTTTTCTATAAAACAGAACAAAGATCAAATGTCGATAGTTATCTAACAAAAGAGCTACAAGCGAACAAAGAGTTTTATTGCAGCGGTGGTCATGGGTCAGTAGCGAACAAAAAGAGCGACACCAACGAAGCTCTCGTGTAATAATGACCTTGAATTTTTCATATGTATGCACATACGGAATATGTATATAAGGGTAGCTATATTACAGTTACATCACAGAAGAATCCAGTAAGATAGACTGCCATTATTACCTGGTACCGTAGCGAGAATTTCGCCAGCCACAGAGCGTTACTTGAGCGCTTTGGGTTGTTTAAAGCCCCCTTTCACTTGTTGAATTAGGAAGCTGAATCTAAGAAAACGGACTCCGTGGTCTTTTTGAGCCAACCCCCTCCATCGATATACAGTCATTTATCTTCATTGTTGATGCTTCCAAGCAATCAACAGTCCTTGTCGGCTCGACAAGAAAGCCTGAGCTGATGGTTGACTCAGCTCACCAAAGTGGAACACTTTCCCACAGCGTGGAACGGTCGTGACCAAGACGATGGAAGCTAAGTACCACTATTCCAGAAAACCCACTCGGTTCGCCTCGCTCTAGTGCTTATGTGAGAATTGCAAAGAAATTTACAACGATGATACCACACTGACGTGGTACATGCAATTAAACTTTCATTAAGGTATTTTTAGGCTGTGAAGAAGAGAAATCAAATATAGTCTCCCTACTCCCTCCGTCATGATGAGAGTAATGAATGAAACGAAAAGAAATAAATTATTAATTCCAAGAGCCGATGAGAGTTTCAATATTGTCTAGAAGGAAGTGAATGAAATATCGCTGTGTTGTGAAGGGGCGACGAATGAAAAATGCGCTCGGGCCAGCCTTCCATCACTTTCAGCATTATCAATATAACGAGAATATCATCTCATAGCACTACGCCGAACCACAGTCAGAGACTTGCCATGAATTAAAGAAAGTAGTTTCTCGCAAAGAATCGCTTCGCCACTGACTTCAAAATCGGCTTCGAACCTGCGTTCAACCATGCTGAACCGAACTTTGTTACTCGTTGTTCTGCCTAATTCGCTTATAAGGAAATCCTTGGCTTTGATCAATGACTAGTGGATGGCTAGGCTATCCCTTCAAATATTAAGGTACGGTTCATTGGTGCCCACGTCACCGAACAGAACAAAAGAAGAAGAATAACGAAAACGAAAGAGCCCTATGAACATGAAGAAAAGGCAGAGAATAATGAGAATGAGGGGTTCACAAAACAATTCGCCCTTTTTGAAAACACTATCAGAACATTATAAATCGTACAGATAGCTGCGTTCGGCTAGATAAAAGCTGCAGGAGGTCGATCTTGCTTAGAAATAACATGATATGTTGGATGATACATAGGATTTGAGTCTTCTTCAAGGTTTTTTTGTGGAAGCAATAAAGGCATTCAAAATTTAGACATGCAGCGAGAGAAAAAAATACTACTCACCATTGTGATCTTTAATTTCTAGTCGAGGGGTCAGCGGATGATGTAGGATTAGTGACAGACTGCCGACGAGTCGCACTGTAATCAAAGCCACAGATTGAGCCCAATGGACAGAATTACGACGATTATGGATCGTGCCTGTTACGTGGTTGGGTGGCCCGCTAGCTGACAAACGACGGAATTCCCCGATATCGACCGTCCGACAATGTTCTTTTTGCGCGTTCTTTTGCAGTTCGGGAAACCAACAGCCACTTTACGGTTGGGACATTCACGTTCAACATGAGTAACAAAAAAGTAGCACTATCTTTCCTGCATTTACCGATAAAGAAGTCTTATTAGTCTCGTTAAAATCAAGAAATAATTCCATGGGTCGAAGTTTAATTACTTTTCAGATAAGATATCATTGAACAAAGTAGGATCCAGAGAGCAAGATTGCTCAGCCAGCAACCAAGAAAACAAGTCAGCTCTGAGCAATGGAATAAACCACTAATTTTCCTCTAATCCAAAAACCGCAGGTCCCACGCCAACACAGGGAGCTTTGATTACAAATTGAGGGCGGCTCGAATGTCCACATGAGGTTCTGCGAAATGGCCACGGTGGGAATTGGAGTTGAGATAGATTAGCCGAGCGCTCGGAATGAATCAAAATTTTCATTTTCATTGGCACGTTTCTTTCTCCTTAGATACAGTCTCTTGACGGAATGGTTACAGTTGAGTACAGCTGCAATCATTGACAAAGGCTCACTCCAATGTCAGTCCACCACCAAGAAGGAATACCTAGTTCCGGAAATCAGCCCTACAATTCGTTTGATCGCAAAAACATTGCATTCCTATGAGACTTGTCTCTAAAAACTAAAAACATATCGTAAATCTTGTTTGGAACCTTGAAAAGAGGGATATAGTGAAGATGTCTGTCCCCACTTCATTCTACTGTATGAGGACATACCATTTTCAACGTGAATATTTATATCTCTAATATCGCGAGAAGTGTTCATACTTTGCGACCCTGCTAGGCGACTGCGACAAGTGGAAAACAGTGTGGAAATTAAGGCCAAAAGAAAAGGCAAAGAAAGCGTTAAGCCGCCGTTGCTCAAACCACGTATTATAACAGGAATAGTTCCTGCAGCCAGTAATTACAAACGCTGTGATTTTCAAGAAATACCAACGTATTCTATGATTATTGTAATCCTTCCTTCCTTCATATCCATTTATTTAAACTATGCCCAAAAAACAGCGATTGCCGATAACGTATTCAAGTTCCTTGCGGACGCTTACTAGCAACATTCTTTCGGACATTAAAAAGTGCGTGGGGAAAGCATTGGGGAGAGAGCGTCCCTTTGACCTTGAACTGCGTAGTTCTGGGAAATGAAATTAAGAGATGAAAGAAATATCAATAGAGACCTAACATCATCAAACGTCCACAACTCACATTCTGCTCAATTCATAGATTTATATTAATATTTCAACAATAACAATCACCTATAATATACACGTTTACATATGAAATTTGAGAACTTTTGTAACAAATGTTAAACAACTAGCAAAAAACTATACTATAACAACCAAAAAGGCAATGCAACAGCAAATCAGCCGGTTTGTCATAAAAAACGGCTGGAAGAAAAGACCAATTAGCACTAGATCCGCGATTATTTGTTGAGGCATGCCAAGAAGTTAATGCACTTAAGAGCTCAGCTAAGACTTCCGAATATGGCGGCAATCGGTACAGTCCAGTAAACACCAGGATATCCTCATAAATGGAGTAGGGAGTTCTTATAAAGGCCTAGAACCTGATCCATAGGAAGCTGAAGAAGTAAGACGGGTTATTTTATTGGATAATTCCGATGAGTGATCTTTTGAAGACAATCCACGGAAGGGAAAGTCTATCAGGTCAAACGCTGAATGCGCAGTGAAACAAAACGAAAAGAGAGATAACTAGGTCGAGAGGCGAACCGCAATCCAAAAATATACTAAGTTTCAAGATCGAAAAAGGACATGGCGATTAGGGGATTCACAACTGGAAACGAAAGGAGAAAAGAAATGATCAATCAATTACAGAAAAAATGGCTGAATTAGAATAGTGATGCGGAATTTCGAAGTGGGCCAAATCTCCGGACAGGAGAACGAAAGAGTTCACTCTCAGTTCAAAAGAAAAAACCCAATCACTTTCTACACTCAAATCGAGTCACTGAACATCTGAAGGTCATCGAATAATCGAAGAAAAAACTCGCTGCAGCGTCCGCTCCCTCAGAAAATCAAACTTACTACTCTGAATCGAGTAAGATTGATATTTTCCCACAGCCACTTCTTAGGAACTAAGATTAGTTTCACTCATCGCCAACCGTAAGCAGATCTTGGCGCAGTTATTTCAACTAAATGACCACAGAACAGTCTTAAAAGATAAGATGGGTGTCGCAGTCCCAAAAGAACGACAAACCAGTAAAAAGGAGGCATTCAGCAATATATTACCAGAACAAGACTGGGTAAACTCATCCTTCCTGAAAGGAGTTACGAATCTCCTACTCATTACATCCAGGTGCAAAGGCTCCTCAACGTGTGAGAGGCTAATTATCTCAAGAAAGACAGAACAATTCGAACATATGTAATTACGAGACTTTCAAGGGCGTCAGAAAAACCAGTGCTTCTGTCTGAGATTGATAATGTGAGCTAATAATAAACGTACACAAGACTAGACTGAACGTCGGATTAGGAGAAACTCATTTTAAAGTCACCATTTTCGAAAATTATGTGGGCGCATGTCGCCTAAAGCCAAACAGACGACCGGAATACTTCTTGAGTAAGGAATGACCTTCCTCCTCGCGCTGATGCCTTTTCTGTTCTTCCTGCAAACAAAGTACCCTGATAAGAAGAGACGATGTTGGTAAATAGTGGAACAGACCTGCTCCGCCAAATAGATGGCTCTTCTTCGGAATTCCTTTGCTGGATCTGGAAACTGCGAATAGTACTGCAACGTCGGTCGAACATCTTCCACATCAGAGAGGTGAATAGCTGAAAATTTCGATGCATACCTTCATAATTATTTGCAGTTTACATGCTGAATTTTCAAAATGAAGAATTCTATTCTTAAGATCATAAAGGATAAAGAATAGTTTTTGGGCGTAGATGGATCCCGTCTGAAGGATCCGCCCCCGCATTCGGCTTCTATTCAGAATCGTAGTGGCGTATTGAATGCGTATGTGGCCACAGAGTAGCTTGTGGCCAACCGATGTACATGTCGGTGATTTTATCCCCCACACTAATTTGGTACTAATCAACCATACCATAAAAGAAGAGATCATAAAAGAGAACTTAAGATCATAGAAAACTAAATAAAGTGCAGACATAGGTTACTGAGGAAGAAAAATTTGGATGTCTTTGGAAGTCTTTTCTTTTTCCTGGAATACAAGATACATTTTTCAATTACAACATACTTTTGAGCAACTCGGCGAGGTCCACAAGTGAGGTGTCATCCATGTTACCCTTCCATTCAGGTACAAGTAACATATTTTCAGGATTCAGTTGAGCTGCTTTAGGATCAACTTCGATGAAAATAACCTTTGATAGGTCACGGTTCAATTTTGACAAATCCTGAAAGTTTTTCTGCTCGAAAAGGCGAAACACAGCTAACTTATCGAGGGATCAAGTAAAAAATTTTGGCTGCTTTCACCTTGACATGTTGCCCATGCATGTATTTCGTACAATCCCTATACAATCTGTACATGATACGTTGTTTCGGATCAAACGAATCCACTACTGGATGAGCAGTCATCATAGATTCACTGGTGTAAATCACAACCTTAAATATATCGTTAAGCTACGTCCAAATAGGTCAGTAAAACCTTGCTGACCTCGAAATTCGGGTATCCTACTACGTCAAGAAAATAGTCCAGAGCTGGACGTTTCGCAAATCTAAAATAGAACTTATCAACATTCATCAAATGTCTATCGAGCCCAATGGATGCTTCCAAGAAGCATCTTGCAACCTTTACATGTTACAGATGTTTTTAAAGGCCGCTGTCAAGAAATGGTGCGTTTGACCACGAAAAAAATTTTTACGAGCATGAGGAAAATAAAGACGGAATAAAAGCGAAGACAGTAAACAAATTCAAGATCTAAAAGAAGCCAATATAAAGGATAACTTGAAGAAGGAAACAATACCGATATCCGGTTTTATACGTCCAGTCTGGGTGCACTAGAACATTCTTCATTTCGATTACCAAAGTATATTTCGGTTGAATATATGGATGAGGAAGAGGATCAGGTAATAGCTGCTCGCGAGCAGGCTCCACCACGAACTGCAATACAAAGCCTGCATGCACTCAGAATACGATAAAAAGCCTGATCAAAAAGAACGATTACTCACGTCCCTCCAAACCCGAAAGCTGTTTGCTATTCGATAGAACGGCGCTAGGTAGGAACCTGTGTATTCATCCGTTACAATGTTTCCAGCCTCATCGCGTTTAGCTCGACCTGAATGCCTCTTAGTAATAAATGGGAAGTAGGAAGTGCGAGCTACACCATAGTCTAACGATGTTTGTTGGACAAGAAACCTAGAATAAACAATTCAAACTTTCTGATAATAGCTAGCGGATACATCTTTTCTAGCCAACAACGCCAAGAAAACATGGCCTTGGAAGTCCGTGACAGGATGGATCTGTTACTGCACCATTGAAGTAAAAAAAANAAAAAAAACCAAACATACAAATTAGCACCATTTCTAGATGATTCCATAATGAGGCAGTGAAAAAGTATTACAAACTAACTAAAATTTTGGTATGTGCGTTGCACCAAAAAGCGAGACTTTTTAAATTAATACAAGTACATAGGCCTCCGTAAAACTCACCATAGTATAAGCAAAACGCAACGAAACTAGCTACGGTGCCTCCAAATACGATAGCACCTCCAATGCGTGTGTTTCGCTCTAAACGCTTGCGGCGTCTCTCTTTATCCGCTTCTTCATCGAAAGGCTGAAATAACTTATTTGAAAATGGGAAAAAACTGTGAGAATAGAGGTGACTTGCAACATTTGCCAATCGCCTTATCGTGTAATCGAACAACAACATTGCAGTACTATATCGGTGACCTCATCAACGGGTCCTTTCGAGCCTCCTCCAGAATCTGACTTGTCCGCGGTTTTCTCTAACTCCTCTTTCAATAAATTGAGCTCTTCGATTGCAGATAGCTTCCCTGGTTTTTCATCTTCCACCTCCTTCTTTTCCTGTAAAAACGTCAAATAAAATGAGCTTGGCGAGTATTGAGGGACAGAAAATGAAACAAGATAGTTTTTAGTCCCATAGAAACGAAAATTAGCAATGAATCGGTAACAAATCTTGCTCACCGGCTGTTTGCTCTCTTCAGTTTCTGGTACTTTCGTAGGCATCTGAGGTGTTCTTGGCGTTTCTTTGCTATCGGATCCAAATTCTTTTCTTGGCACAGAATATGTGACGTTGTGCGACGCAAGTGAACTTTTCATCTGAACTTGGATTCATATTCATGTGGTTTTGCACGATGAGAGGAGTAGTGAATTACATGAAAATGAACAGGATGACATCAAAACTTCTGGCTTTGAGCTTGAATGTATCGAACGGAAAACGATTTACGACGTGAGGGCTATTCACGCTTGGTTTGTGGGAATAAACAAATAGCGGTGGTGCAAAAGGGATCATTAAACTAGTCCAAGCTAGAACTTCTTACCGTTCTTGATGGGTCCGCAAATGGACTTGCTACGCCTGTGTCACTCAGCAAAGACTTGAAGACCCTTTCATTGCAATATGATCTCCGTACTACCGAACTACATATTCGTGTCGCAATGTTTAGGTGGATACAGTCCAAGGCAAGCCGTAATGCCATAGTAGACAGAGCGGCTGAAAGATAAATTGAAACGTTCAAATGTACGCTACACTTTCATACGATATTAATAAACAGAATCTCCACTAATGCGGAGTCAAGAAAGAATTTACCAAAGAAAAATCAGTGATAGTCAAAGAAATAGATATGCTCTTTCAAGGTGCGACTGAAGGCGAAGATTAACGCAAGCCGATAACCTTACGAATTTCTTATAAGTGAATGTTGGGACATTAGTAATGTAAGCTCCACTGACAGCTCAATGGGCGCATTTATAGTGCGATGTAGACGCCGGCACTATGAACACGCCCTAACCGGGCCATAGCGAAACTGCGAGTATCGATCTACCGTCATCCTGCAGACATCAATTCTTACAAACAGAGAAGTGGTATTAACTTATCAACAGGAAGAAATTTCGTTTCTAACATATAAAACAGCAAGGTAGCAACATAGTCTTGAAACGAAAAGTTACTATAAACTGAATGATGAACCCCTCGCATATTCCGTGGCTCGCAATAGACTGGATTTGAAAAAAAAAATAGCAAAAGTAATGGTGACCACAAATAAATTAATAGGAAAAACATTCGAAATAATAGGTAGCTCCTCTTCGAAAGGCTCAGTTGCTAATGCTCTAAGACCTAACAAAAGAAAAGCTTTAATCCACCACACAGAGGAAAAATGGTAATTCTTATGAGCAGCTTGGGAGGAAATATAACAACGGCTAGATAGCAGACATTGCTCCAATGATTTATGTGGTCCTCTAAATACTACCACGAAGTTCTGGTAGTTGTTACAACTGGCCTAACGCGTTTGGGCGCTTGGTTGGGTAAGCCATAGATCAGGAGCTCCGAACTGTGTTCGGGTCCTTGATGACGACTATTTGTTCGAAATGTCAACAAAGAGGTACTATCCTTAGAAAACCGTACGGTAAAGTAGTGTAAAACACTGTGTAAACTTCAAATATTCCCGATACTATCTAAGGAATCGATCTGCTACCCTAATATTCCTCATCGATACTGAAAATGCTTGTAAACAATGGATTACAGGCGAGAATAATCAGTCTTCATTACCATGGTATGACTCATTTCTTTAACTAGGCTCATCAAAGTCACTCTCACCAAAAGATGCTTCTCCAAGAAGAACGACCCACTTCTACGTCGAACTCAGAATACTCGACTCCTGCGGAAAGCCACCAGACGACGGCGACTACTTCAACTGCGACTGATGTGATGCTGTGTAGGATTTGCCTGGATGACAATCAGGAATTCTCTAAACTAATTTGCCCATGTAACTGCAAAGGAAGTGTCGCTAGAACTCACTCGGCCTGCCTTGAAAAGTGGGTTGAAATCACTCACAATACAAATTGCCAAATTTGTGGAACAGATTACGAATTAGAATCCTGTGGATGGAAAAATATCACGGAATGGTCTGCACCACGACCATTGTCGAACGAATGGGAAGATATACTGGATTTCCGTTGCTGTATAGCTTGGCTGATATATTTTAGCCGATTTATCTATATGAATGCCGCCTATGGAGCAAAAGAAACAAGTCGTCAGATTACCGAAGCTATAGGTGACGGTGTATTTGCAAAGTGTTGGTGGTTCGCATTTTGGATGAACATGGTATACTACGGATCCATAACAGTTCTTTTGACAGATCAATGGATTACTGAGAACCGTGTCTACAGATTCCGTGATCGACGTCCCCAAAAGATGTGTTAAATAGCATATTAGAAGGTGATCATGAACATCGAAGCTATGATTAATCATAAACATCCGTTCATGAGTTGTTCAGTACATTTCCAATCGACACAACGCTCACTAACATAAATCCTATACAAATTCACGGTCACAGTATGTTTCCCAATGGTCCAGAGAAGAGCAACCAAAAGCGGTCAAGAACTGCAAACTAAGTAATTAGCTTTGTTCAATATTAAACATATGTGAGCAAAATCCTAGAACAGAAATGGTTAAGGTACTAGAAAAAGAAAGTTTGATTCCCAAAACGTCTGAGACAAGTAGGCGTGAACTCGAATGCCATTAGTGCGCTACACACTTTGCGCATCATTCAACGTGCACTGCTGGACCGTCGTGGAACTCGTGAAATTAATGCTTGTACTGTTTGTTGTTTTGGGTTGAGTGGAATGAGCTTCCTTTTGTTGGAAACAACTGGTATCGGAGATTGAATGTTTAGAGCTGTGATGAAGTGGGTAATGCAATATGCTTCCATTATGTAAAGGTGAGTTGTTGATGCGAAAAATCGCTCAATCCTAGACTGAAACCTCATTGATAGGAACGTCTCGGACGCCTTTTCATCACTTGTGGTCAGCGGATGTGTTCTGTTTAGTCAAACGGCTTTTAGACTGACTTTTTCTTAAGGGTTCGTCTCCTAGTACAGGCGGCATCCAAGAAAACTTCTCCCATAGTAGTTATTTCTCTCAGTTCTGGGAAAGCACACATAGGTCACGGTGTACCGTAAGGATTGGCATTCTTGCATATTCTGATGGGAGCAGTTACTTTCCTCCGATCCTTTTTGAGAGATGAACAAATGTATGTATCTTGGGAGGTCTGCGTGGGAAGTAGGCCGCTTCATAAAGCATTGTTTAAAGAGAAATTACCTGAGTAAAAAACTAACGGAGTATCATGGATCTCGTCCACTTCCTCCTCCTACTCCTTCCGCCCTCTTCCATACCACAACCCATACGTTACCCTGTCCTACCTTGCAGCCCGATTCTCTGTGCATGCCTCGTAAAAGATGACTATTAAACGAACGCGTATAAAACTGGTGGCCTTCAAATCTAAGGCCATCTAGCGTGAACTCAGGTGAGAAATACAAAAAGAGTGCAAAGTGGGGCAATATTCTGGCGACAACACGACTGGAATCAGTCCAAACCCCGTAGAGATAGGTTTTCGTTGTTACATTGGGGTTCTAGAGTGGTCCCGTCCAACTTTGATGCTCAGCAATACCACCGATACGTCTTGCTCCACTGCTCCGATCACTGCTCTCGTTTCCTGTAAGTCGCAGGTCTCAACTGCTCACATCGACGCGCCAGACTGGAAGTCGAGGAACTCGGGCACCGCATTTTGAGGCTCAATTACGTTGCTATGAGCGCACCTGTTGGGTAAAAAAAGTGCCGCGTAGACTCTTCCAGCAAGATGGAGCTCTTTTGTCCTCTACCACGAATAAGATTAATCGTTTTCAGTGTGGTTCTTTTTGGGTCATTCATGAAACCCTATGTGCTACCCTTGGTTTTTTTAAATCAAATTAATCACACAAGCAACCCACAGGTGTCACATTTGAATGAACGAAATGAAATGTCCTGTTGTTCATCGATTTCCTCGAGCGAGCTTCATTAACGTCTGCATCTGTCCCTGCAGCGATGTGAAAAGTTTCTTTGTTTTATCAGATTACAGGTTCATGACGCCTATAACTGATCGCGTAGCGGGACGTGAGTTCATGAGTGGGTACGCTGAACACAGGGTATATACATATTTTATTCCTTATATAAATATATTAAACCATAACATGACTGGGTGAAGGGGAAGCCAGGACAAGTCGGCCACAGTTGATACGACGGGCGTTACTCGCGAGGCTAGGCGAGTGAGAGAATAGCAGCGGCAGCAGCAGCAGCCCGGTGGTCGGTAGACGGCCACTTTTATAGTGGTCCGTAGAACGTCGCACGGCGTGATTGATGAGCATCTTCGTCCAGGCGGTCAGGTGGCGAGGATACGACATCTCCATTTCATACAGTAAGCTCGTCCTCGAGCTTTGTTGGATCGTTTGAGGGCTCGCCACACCTCTAAGAAGGAGGCTCGTCCTCGAGCTGAAAATAAAATTAGGTGCAGGATAAACGAACAACATAGTGTTGTCGATCATGCGGTTAACCTACGAGTTATTCTTATGCACTATGATGATTACTGTTGATCTCATAACATGGTGAGGCTAGTTCGACGAGTTATACAATTACTCTTCAATTGAATAAAATAAAATTACATCGAAATGGGGCATGATAGAACTTATCACATTTCAAGTTAAAGATGGTGTGTTGCAGTTCAAGTCTACGACAATAACACTACCAAACCGAGTTATCTAACTACTTTCGGATGGGTATATAAACGATGATAAGTGTATCAGTCTACATATACTGAGATGTGACTGATAAACGAACATGACTGAAACACTATGAGCGAATACTAGACTTATCGAGAGCGACTAGTATAAGGGCGTATATTATTACTATTTTTTTTTAAAAAGGTGGGGTAAACGCTGCTTGTGTGCTCTTTGAACCGCCTATTCAAGGAGTTTCAAAAGGATCGCGACATTGCGTTGAAAATTGAGAAAACGAATTCAAACAGACCCTTGGAAGCTGCTTGTTTTGGTTAACAGGTTCCTGTCAATTTTACCTTTTTACAGATTATTGGCGTTACTGCGTCTTTTCTCTTGAAGACGGTTCGAACGCCTGATTGGTGGCTGTTCTCTAACAGCTGGTTCCCGATTGCTGGCTCCGT